GGTGGCCCGGTCGCGCTGCGCGCGCGGGTCCCGCGCCTTTGGCACCGAGTTAAATGAGCATTAACTGTGTATAGAGACTTATACATGGACAAGGCCATAGGGGCTCTCCAGATGAGGCAGGCATGCAACAAGAGGACCAGATGTCTTCTCTCAAGTCCGTACAGGCCTTCCTCTTGATAAGGCCTGAAAAACAGCAGGAGCTCAAGTGAGCAGTGGCGATGGCGTCTTCCTCCCCAGAGCACTAACCTGTTCGCAGATCAGCAGAGGCTGTTGTTATGGAGAAACAGAAAGTAACAAGGCACGCTCCAGCAGCACATGCCTCCGTGTTGTCTCTTCCCGAGAGGAAAAAAGAACCTGTCCCAGCAAGGCGGCCAGTCCTTGCCCCCAGGACTCTGCAGGGAGTGAGAATGCCACCCTCAGCAGCACCTGAAGCACTACCCCGGGGTGAAGCTTTGCATACCACTGCAAACATGTACAGCTGAAAGGAAGCAGATCTTTCTCCAAGCCAGGGGCTCTCTGCCCAGAGGGCCCTGAGCTTAGCAGGCAGTGATGAGCAGTACTGAGATAGCACATCCTCTGCCTTCCACCCCCTCCTCACAACAGTGTGTAGCAACAGGTGAGACAGAGAATGGATCACCACTAACTCTCCTACTTCTTCGGTTTTCAGGACAAACCCCAGCACCTGCTATCATTCACTTTATGCATCAGGGTAGTCAACTAGACTAATACTAAAAATATTTAAGCACCCATAAAAAAAAGCCCTCCTTATCCTACAGGCAACACACAGAACTGTAATGAACCTTGTGCCCACGGTAGCTCTGCATCCTGAATGCAGATCTTCACAGAGACACCCATCAACACATTTTTAGTGTGAGGAATACTGGGAAGGCTCTCTGCTCCTCTATGTATTTACTAGTAAGCCTGTTTATCATAAGTTCAGCACTTTGGGAAATCTATATTACATGGACTGAAAACAGGCACTCAGGGATTAAAGTCTTACACAGAAGTAAGGGTCAAGATATTTGGGCAGGGTCAAGATATTTGGTGTATTCCTCCTCAACAGGGACTTGATTCGTGCCAGACAACCCCCAGAAACAAGCTGTGCAACTCCCCAAACTCATGCTAGGTTTCAATCATTTGTTTTTAGTTCAGCCATCAGAAGTCAATTCATCTGCACACCAAAAGAGGCTTCAAGAAGCAATGGAGAAAAATGTCCTCTCCTTTGTCCTCACTAACCTTTCAGAATAAGCCTGTGGGTAGCCTTCACCCACTGCAAACCCAGAGCACCCAGACATTCTCTGAAGAACCACCTTCCGATTCACCTACAGTCGCCCTTATCCCAGCATGGTCCAAATGAACAGACTAATATTCTTTGTACATATCAATTTATTAGAACAGATCATGTAATTTCTTTCACAGAATTTCAAACATGTGCGAGTACATTTAAACAGCTGGAATACCAAGGTAATTAACAAAAAAAAAAAAAAAAAGCCTAACAACAGTCCTTTCAAACTTAACCAAAGGTACGTTTAGATATAAAGAGCTGAATACAGTTTGAGAAGTCCCAAGAAACCAGAGCATCCAAGGGCACAGTTTGCCCATTAAAAACAAAAAAAAACCCCAAATCATTCTCTTCATTCTACTTCTGTGTTTGCTTCTTAGAGTAGTTCTTTGCAAATTGCTTTCGTACTTCTTCCTGCCTCTTTCCAAGTTTAAGAGCGTTGATCAGGCTTATGGTTTTTCTCAGTTCATGTACAGGCTTGTTTACAAAGCCGCAGTATTTCCTTTTCGGAACAAATTCAAGAGCCTTCTGCCAGTCTCCAGTGTCTTTCAAGGTTAATAAAATCTGCATCATTTGATCCAGTGTGAGATTTTTGGCACCAGTATTCCAGAGCAAGTACTTCTCCAACGGAAGGGCCGCAGTCTCCAGCCCCAGTCGCTTTGCCTGTGCTAAAGAGACCCCTGTTTTTATGCTCCTGTCAACCATTGACCCCACAATATAGATTTTATTGTGATCAAATGTTTTCATTACTTTGGGAGAATCAGCAGTCAGATAGATAAGCTTATCCTTTGGAAAGACTTCCGTGTAGCACTGGTCTGTCACAGTGATAAGCAGTTTGCCCCATGCCTCCCTATAATGCTTGATAAATTCCTTATGATAGAGACTTTCATCTTTGAAGTTACAGAAGTGGATGTGGAACGGATCAACAGATCTTCGATTGGTGCTTTCACTCAGTACTATCTGTCTCACTGTATTTGCCACTTCTCGGACAGACATATCTTTTTCAAAGGACATATCAAATACTAGCGGCTGGCCAAAGATCATCGACTGTGCAGCCCTCCAATTGTATACCTTGTCCATACAGCTGGCCCACAAACATATGAATGAATTCTTTTTGGTCACATCAGTTTCTGAAGCTAGCTTTTGTGCTTCCAGCCTCCTTTCCCTTTTCTCTTCCATCTTTCTTTTGTCGTTTTTCTTGTGAAGTTCTTTGAGATACAAATATTTTAAATATTTCTTTTGGGCTGACTTGGAAGTACATTCCATAAAGGTTTTCAATTGTTCTTCACTGATATTTTCTGGAATTGATTTGCCAGCTAGTCTCCGCATCTCCAATATGTCACGTGCAGCAGCCAAACTGGAAGGCTCCTTACGCTCAGAGACTGTCTCACTGACTTCTTGCACCCCGGATTTCATTACCTTCTTCCAAGCATCTAAATCTAGTTTTTCTGAGGGATTGCATGAATTATCCTGCTTCAGGCAAAGTGATAAACTCAGCGTTCTACTGAGTGGCAACAAATCCTTTTTCATCCCATGTTGTGCAGCAAATGGGAGGACAGAACTTCTTAAGATTTTTTTCAGAAGCATACTGGCAGACTGCATACTAAGACATGTGCTGTGTTAAGATGCTTATCTGCAAAACACCAGTAAGAGGGGAAAAATCTTGTCAGAAATCATAAAAAAACCCCACCACACACAGATCCTCATCCCTATTAAGACTGACAGACAACAACTTACTTCTTGGAGATCTATTTAAATTATCGGTATCATCTGACAAATAAACACCTTTACAACCAAAATGCTGCATGGAGACAAAATACATTTTTATACAGGTCAGAGGACACCTAAACTATGAAAACGGACAAAATGTTTCATCTTGTAACATTTTCTGGAACAACCCTGTCTCACAGAAGTTCACATTTTAGCTTCTACCATTATATTTTGGAAAAGCTCTATTTGGAACTTGAGTGCTAAGGTTTTTCCTCTTCTATGCATTTTCACAGTGCAAGTCACTGATTGCTAAGCCAACGCTACTGCCACTGAAGGCACTCCTATGTCCTCTGTCAGACCCTTGTTCCTGGCTCTCTCAGCAGTGCCGGCATTCACACAGCCGCACTATGAGTCAAATCAGAGACCTGATCTTAGGGACAGCTAAGCAGAAGGCGGAGAATGAACAACCGAAACAACTTGTAAACCAGCCCACAGCTGAACCGAACCGCGACAGGTTCGACACCTCCGAGCACCGCGCTACGCCCCACAGCCCTCCCCGGCGCGCCTCGCTC